TGGTTATTATACAACCCTTAACATTTGTACAACCAATACAACTCAATCTCAACCGTCCATTTCATTTGATAAATATATGATTTCATAGAAGTTTTGATTGTTTCCTAATATAAAATATTAATCATAATTAATGAACTTTATTCATATTCCATAAATATTCAAATCATAATAAATATACTCTCATCATTTCTATAAATATCTCAATTAATTGGGTTGCAAGGGTTGTACAAATACACAAGGTTGTAAAAGAAATATACCCTATATATATATATATATATATATATATAATCATGCAATCAAGTTTTTTTCCACTCAATCATATTCTTACTTCTATATGGTATCAAGAGCTTAAGATCCATATTTTTTTTCTTCTCACTACCTACCCCAAATATGTTCCCTACTTATTCCCCAAACCATCTCGTCCAGCCCTTCAAGGTCGTTGCTAATGGTGTTGCATAACTATACACACTATTTTACAATGACCCTATTTTTCGCACTCAATTCCCAAATGCAATTTCACTATCGCCCTCCTCTTATTACTCCAGTCTCTTATTTTTCTTTTCCACATGCCTATGTCGTTGCTGCCTCAGAAACTTCATCCAATGGTTGGCTTCTTGAGAATGGGGCGACACACCATGTCACTCATGATCTTGACAACCTTTCACTTCACTCATCTTACAATGGTAGTGTCATACCCCAAGAATCATATTTGCATATAACCAAGTATTTCATATATTAAGAAATACAAATATACATATTCGGTCTCAGATATACAAAAGCTACATTATGAAAGTAGCTAACAAACTTTTTCATAACATCTTTGTACATAAGTTGTATACATAACAAGTATTTCAAAAAGATCGCAGATAAGCATGTTTTCTTCCACATCCCATGTAAGCATATATGACACCTCATAATTTCTTACATATTTGACACCTCATAATTTCCCCTTTCCCTTATCCTTAGATTGAGCCCGACCTATAATACATATTTTTAAAACACAAAATTAGGGCTAGAACTTGTGGTCTAGTGAGAGATCCCATTGATGCAATTACAAGGTGAAAATCACCGAATCAAGTTATAAATCCATATTATAATACCAATTGTTAGGACAAAAATTGTCCTAAATATCATGAAAGAGTTTGTTAAAGCAATTCGGTCCAGGTATGGAAGTCTGGAAGTCCAGAATTCAGAGTTTGAGTGAATTAAGTCTGAAAATGAAGATTTCAGATTTCGGCTGAGCTAAGTTTGAAAAGGAAGACTTCAGACTTTCAGATGAGCGAAGTCTGAAAAGGAAGACTTCAGACTTTCAGGTGAGCTAAGTCTAAAAAGGAAGACTTCAGACTTTCGGGTGAGATAAGTCTCAAAAGGAAGACTTTGGACTTTTAAAAATGTACTTATAAGACTAAGTCTGAATCTGCAGACTTATCTTCAAAAATCTGATAAACAAGTCTAAAGATTCAATCTTCAGAGTTACTAGTCATTCTTCAGAGTCATACTTTAGAGTTACAATTCAGAGTTATAAGTCTGAAGAGTCATTCTTCAGAGTTATACTTCAAAGTTGCACTTCAGACTTGTAAGTCTGAAGATTCATTCTTCAAAGTTATACTTCAGATTTAAAACTTGCATCATACAGAGCAAGACCACCCAGAGCGCTTCTGGTCCTACCAACCAGAAGTAAAGCCATCCAGAGGTCAGGCCAACCAGAAGCACCTCTAGTTATAAAAAAATTCATTTCATCACATTAATAGGATGCGATAACCCAAGTCATCGCATCACACAGATGCGATCACTCATGATCATTGCATCATAAGGATCCGATAACAAACCCCATGATCAAAAAGATCATCATTTTCAGAAATTGATTATGTCACATTTATCACAGATTTACCCAACTCCTGATTATGTTACCCTTATTTCAAATTTACCCAGCTCCTGATTATGTCACCCTTATTTCAAATTTACCCAGCTCCTTGATATGTCACCATTATTTCAACACATGATATAACCATGATAAACACCACCATTTTGCGAATAATAGCATCAAAACAGTTTCATAACAGTAACTCATATAAAGAGCCATACGGTTCCATTCCCAGTTCTATCATCATGTTCAAATAGCATCCATTCCGATCTCATGTTAGTTTGTTGGATTGTTTGGATTTGAAGTCCTAGGATTTGATAGAAATTCTACAAACATAGGATTTTGAATTAGGGAGTGCTTAGGATTTCATGGGATTTCTAAAATTGTATGAAATAAGGTTTTAAAAAAGGATAAAAACATTTGTTTTGTTATAATTGATTAATAAAAATACAGTTTAATTATTTTTATTTTTTTATAAATTATTTATAAAAAATGGCATCTAGTTTCATTTCATATTCTACAAACCAAATATACCAATGATTTCAAATCTATTTCAATCCAAATCCCTTTATAAAATTAAGATCCCTCAAAAAAGCCTGCAATCCAAACGAACCCTTGTTCTCTGAACATAACTCCAAAGAAAAGCTCTTAAAGAATCAAAGAGGTCAAACCTTCAAGTCTTCTTTTATTCTTATTTTAGAAAAGGATATTCCGAGTGAGAGTGACTAATAATTATCACTACAACAAATCGGGTTTATAGGACGCTCTCAATTTCTAAACGTCATAATAGACCTCTTTATATGACTTAATTTATAAGACCAAAAAATAAAGTGTTCTATCTAAAGGCGTTGTAATAAGTTTATATGACGTTTTTTGACGTCGTAATAAGTTTTTTTGGACATTTTTAATATAAAGCGTCACATTAGCAACTTTATAGGACACTATTTAAAAACTTTATCCGACGCTTTGTATTAAAAATGTCCTAAAAAACTTGTTAAAACATCCAAAAGCATCATATGAACTTATTACAACGCCTTTAGACTTTATATTTTGGTCTTATAAATTAAGTCATATAAAATGGTCTATTAAGACGCTTAGAGATTGGGGACCTCCTATAAACCCAATTTTGTTGTAATGTATGAAAATTCAAGATCACTGTTTTCAAGATTTAATCACTTGTTGATTTATAGCTTAAAATTTCATTTTTTATATAAAAATTTATTAATAAAAATTATTTAAAATGTTGAAAAAGATTTGTATTCAGCTCCGTCTATAAATACTTGTGATTGTGAAGCCCAACTACACCTAACATTAAGCCTCAATGGTTAATACAATAAATTATCCAACTACCGAACCACCTATTAAATACGAGATGTTATCATAAATTAGAATGAAATAATAAGACCTGTTTAAATATTTGACTTGCCAATTCCGTTATCACCGTTAAGATCCCAATAGTTATAAGTCGTGTCTAGATTCGTCAACCTAGTTCCGTAAGTATTGCAGAAGTGTTTTATCTTGATCAGGAGGGGTCTCCCCCCTCCCTGTCATAAAAAGTATTGCAGAAGTATACGATATGATGGATCGAGCAATATTGTCGGCTACAATAACATTAAATTGGTCTAACCACAAGAGTGGTGCCTGATTGGTTTGAGCTTGACTTCAAAGGTCAAAGGTACCAGGAGGTCTCAGGTTCAAATCCAAGGAGAAATAAAAATTCCACTGTGGCCACAGATATTCAAATGCGGTGACTCCGGGCTATCTGCAAAGCAGGTGATCGCTCTAGGATTAGTTGGCTCGCATAGCAGGTTGGATATCCAGGTTAATAAAAAAATGGTTCTATAGAAATTAATCTAATACAAATAGTCGACATTTTAAAATATAGGAATATATTTTTCTTTTTCAGGTGATTATAACTTCAAAACTACAATTTATCTAAAAAAAAAATGAAAATTATATACTGGAGTGGCCAGACCAAGGACCATTACCCAATCATCAAGGAAGATGGACAAGCCATCATCAAGCAATTGTTACTAACAAAATCTAATAAGCGTCCGTTTACAAAATGGTTACCTGGGTAAGTGTGCTTATGAAGTGACATTACCTAACCAGATGAATATGATAAAGACTAAGAATCATACCCGGTAGAAGCAAGGCAGGCAAAGACCGAGTCTTTGTGCAGTAAGTGAGGAAGACAACTCTTACCGCGGTTAGCCCTTACCGGGTAAAATGTTGCATATGATACCATTTTGGTGGACTAAATCTTACGTGACAAGTAAGTGATAGTATTGAATTTTGAAGGTAAGTGATGACGGTAAGTGAGAACTATATCTCTTACCATGGTTAGCACTTACCGGGTAAATTGTTGCATACGATGCCGTTTTTGTTGACTAAAATCTTACCCGGTAAGTAAGTGATGAGATTTATACAGTTACACTCATGTAACAAATTCTACAGAGGCTATTTTTTTCGTAAACCTAAAGGCCCAATCTGCAAACCCATATTAAGACCAGTTCTACCAAACACAAATTTTATAAAAATCAGATGAGGTGCTGAGTCAAATAAGCTAAAATACTTTGCATATCATAAATGAAGCAAAAAGTCTTGAAGGACTCACTTGTTCCAAAAGGCAGATTAAGAGCACAAGATGTCCCAACTCCTTTGCATATGTGGAGGCAATGGAGCTGCAAATTTGAGGCTTTTGATGTCTCCAAAATCATAATCCGAAGAAGAAATACGAGCACGCTCTAAAGCAGATGACACATCGGGCAAAACCATCTTCTTACAATGTAAGTGAAGGTTAGGCTGCTTATCGGAGATGCTCCCACTCTCTAAATCAAGGCCAAAAGGAAGTGACTTTCTTTTGCAGACCTCAACCTTCTCTTCAAGATTAGAGGAAAATAGTTGGTTCCATTTCTTGTGAGCTTGCCACCCGTATTTGTAGTCTCCAACTATTGGTGTTCCCAATACCTCAGCACAATGGACCCTGATCTTTGTTATCAAAGAATAGCACGAAGACATGTTATCACAAGGTCATGCAACAAGATACAAAAGGAAGGGGGTATCGAAACAAACTATTTTCAACTTCAAATAGACTATACGTCAAATCCATGTTCTATGGAAAGATATTATTCCCTGAGCATCCACAGCGGCGTTATTTCAAAGCTTTTTGGAAGCTTATTGGCAACATAAGCACCTGGACAAAGCCCCGACAATGAAAAACTTTTTTGTTTTTGAAGTTACAAGCAAGGTTTTTGAATGTGGGTCCCACTTTTCTAGAAAAAGCTCACTCAAAAACCTCCACCATCGTGGATGCTCTAAAACCAGCAACAAATCTATTGTCACTCAACAAATCTATTGACCACAAAAGCGGAAGTGTACATTCCTTCATGATGCATTTGGAATGAGAGCAGAACTGGAGAGGACATGAGCGTCGAGAGTGAGGTAGGTGGGTGAAAGAATTATGGAAGGTTTTTTGGGTTTTATTTGACATCGGGTAATTTAGTAATTTACCAATTTTGTCTCATCTTCCTTATTTTTTTCAGCCTACTCTGGTGGGACAGGAAAAATGCATTTTTCTCCCACTCGATTCCGGTCGTGTCAAACGTGGGATAACAAATTTTTGTATTATCCTGTCCCGTATACCAAACACACCCTCAAGGAACTGTTAGAGAATTTAAAGATGGCGTCCCATAGTTATGAATACCTGGTGTTTTCTACCAGTGAGTGGAGAAAGCTCCAACCATGTGAGACCTGCAATCATTTTGAAACAAACTATAAAGGGTGGTGATAGAAACAAACCCACCATATCAGTTCGTCTTCGTCAACCCCACCTAGTGAAAAATGCATCAACCAAACTCATGAATGGAGCTAGAGTCATGCCACTAAAATGGAAAATCAGATTAATTATATAAAGCTAAAATTGCATCTTTTGAACTAGACCAAATGATTGCGCCTTTTCTTTTGTAAATTACCAAGGTAAAAGCTCATTTAATTTGGGACAGAGGTGGAGTAAATTTTGCAGTAAAATCCAGAACAAACCATGATTAGAAGATTCAAGAACTCGATATTCTGTTATGGCATGTTGCGATGACATTGTTGAAACATTTTCAACAACTGTAATCCGTTCTGACCTTCCATCATCCATTACCACCTTGGCAGAAACAATAATCCAAGTTACATTTTTCAGTTGTTTCAAAGAATCATCTTACACAAGAATGTATGGTTTGAAGTTCATATATCTTCACATATGAATTGCACTAACCTTTCCCAGAGGAACGGAGATTAGACCTTGTGGGCGCCTGGGAGAGCCAAGTACAAGTGCCCAATACTTTCTTTGAAGGAATCTTTTTTCACTCTTCAAATCCTAAAGGAATCATTTGAGAAAACGCAAACCATTCATACCCAGAGAAAATGATAGGAGCATTTATCCCTCAACAATTTTTTTTGGTAACGCTATTTATAGAGGGAATAAAATTACGCACAATATTGGAAGCACCAATGGTTTTCTCACGGAAAACAGAATGCAGAACAGTAGCACTGAGCTGTGTTCTCCCCAAGACCAAGATGCCGCTACTATCTCTATCAAGTCTGTGCACCTAATAAATTACAAGCTTGTTTGACCACAAGATACAGATATATGAGATTAATCCCTGGAACAAAACCAATTTTCATTTAAAGAAGACAATGGTGCTCATGTTTCTTTTAATTAGCCTTAAAACTTGTGCTAATTATCCTAACTCGTGGATTTTTCTCCATAATATTTCAAGTAACCCAACTCATGGATTTTGCAAATTAAGTCATCTCATTGAAGAATCATTTCATAGCATTTACATAATCAACTACACCAGTTTCTTCAAATCCGGGGGAAATTATAAATTTATATTATTTACGTTTCCTCAATTATTTAACTGAATAGTTAACAAAATTGTCAAGTATATACGTAATGATGGAGCTGAACAATACTCACCAGCCTAGGTGGTTCAGAGAAATCATGTCTCAAATAAGCTCCAGCTAACTCATCTAAGCTTCTTTTTATTCCAATACCACCCTGTAATACAACACTCTAATCAACATTCCGAAATGGCAGTATATGCGAACAACCCTCATCAAGATGTGACTAGCTCACCTGAACAGGCATTCCAGGAGGTTTATTGATGACAAGAATTGCCGAATCCTAAACAGTAAATAACAAAGAGAACATGATCACCTATAAAACTAAGGTGAAAATATAATGAGCAAAGAAAATGAATAAGCCATCTTAGCAAGCCACAATTTTAAGAACCTTATATAACACAAGATCATGAAGAAACTTTAATTCTTCTTCACTGCAAAGGCACTCCACTTTCTCAGTTGGCAATGCTTGTACTGTGATAGGAAGATAAATTGTATCACCACATTTCATTGAGTCTTTGGCTGATACCTGACAAAATATCAAGTATAAGATGAACTATTAATGCTTTCTGAGGGGAAAAAACAATAGAACGAGTGTTTTTCATGAGAACCTTCTTAAAAATGGATACCACAAGACCAATTACACAAAGACTTCTCTTACCCTTTTGATTCGGCATCCTGGAGCTTGAACATCCTGATCAGAATTTGAACCTTCAGAAGTTCCACGTCGAACCTTCAGCATATCAATACAACATGTCCAATAAGTTTTTAATTTCAAATACATGCTTCAACTGTGATGGAGCAAAAAGAACTCGATTTGATCACATGAAAAAATTATTTGACAAGGTTACGCAAGAGTTTTTATCAAGAGCAAATAACATGACACATCACTGCAGCATTTGTAAGAAACTTTGGATTCCAATACATCTATTGAAGATCATGTAAGAACTTCTTCCGAAAAACACTGCAGACTTGTGATAACTTTGCATCAAGCACACAATAATTTACAAATAATAACGAAATGTAATCTAATCTCTTACAACTAAATACGAAAGGAATGTGATACCTGTCTCAGTCGGAAGAGCTTTTGTACCAGAGACCTCGGAAGCTGCGGGCAGCACCGCATTACCCATTTGAGCGCCGTCGTGGTGCTTGCCTCTCCTTCATCTATTGATTTCCTTCTCCCGACAATATCTCTCCCCAACGAAGCACCGTTAACGGTCATATTGAAAGGCGGTAAACTTAACCACTTGCCTTTTTTGTTCTCGTTCTTCTCATCTTCCACTTTGGTGGAATTGTTTTTAGCTTGAACGTGGTGATACGATGGTGTTAAAGTTCTGGCGCCACCGCATCCCGTGATAACAGGTGGTGATCTGAGAAGCGCTCGCCGGAGATGAGAAAGGACCGCCATATTTTGAGGTTTAGGGTTTGGGCTTAACAATCGAAAACGATTGCAACAACCGGTTTGTATTTCTGGAATAGAAAAGTCAAAAGAAGATAGCAAATGGGCTTTAGAATTTCATTTGGCCCAAAATGAATTGCACTAAATTTTTAGTCGTGAATTGTGAACCAAAAAATTAAAAATAAAACCAATTTAAAATTTTATTTTGTGTAAGGGGTCATTTACCAAACACTTACCCCGTAAACGCTTACCGGTAAAATTCAACATTATCATTTACTTACTGGGTAAGATTTTTATCCACCAAAAATGTATCGCATGTAATAATTTACCCGGTAAGCTTTTACTATGGTAAGACTCTTGGTTCTTGTCTTGCTCTTACCCGGTAAGATTCTTGGTTTTTACTATATTTACTAAATAATTATTTGGTAACTGCTTACCGGATAAATTTCCTCATCGGATAGACATGAGAAGGACCAAGAATCTTACCGGGTAAGAGCGATGAGAATGATGGAGAATCTTATCCGGTAAGTGAGGATGACGACTTTTGCCCAAGTAAGCGTTTACTCAGTAAATTATTGCATTCGATATGTTTGGATGTACTAAAATCTTACGCACCAAAATAAATCATAGTGTTGACTCTTATCGACAAGCGTTTACCGGGTAAGCAATTGGGTAAACGGCTCTTTAGTGTTCACTTACCCGAGTAAACGTTTGGTAAACGACCTCTAAGTTATTGATTTGGTCCCTATGGTTTTAAGTTTATCTTGGATTAAGTCTTTAGAGTTTTTTATTCTAAGATAGTCCCTAAAGTTTACGATACGTAATGTATTGGTCCCTGTCATTAATGGATGTTAACTCTCATCCGTTAAATGAGAACCATTTTGTTATTTTTGCAAATCTTACCATTTTCTTATCAAAAAAAAAATTGTATTAATCCTCCACATTACTTAAAAAAACAAAAATTTGTAAATCACCCCAACCTCCACCATTCTAAACAATAACCTAACGATCTTCAAACGAAAATCCAAAGTTCCTTAGTCGTTTTTGGATCGCCTTATGGCAACACATAGACAGAGGCTTAAACTTTAGCAGCACTGTCCACCCCCAGACAGATGACCAGACTGAAAACTTGGATCGTGCATTGAGAAATTTATTTAAGGCATATGTGGGGAAAAGGCAAAACAATGGGATTGAGTCTTGGCACAAGCGGAGTTTGCATACAACATTACAATTCATACTGTCATTGGTCAGTCCATGTTCTCACTAGCATATAGGCAACCTCCTAGGCATGCGCTAATCTTATCAAAGTTACCAAAAGTGGTTGGGTCGAGTAGTGTAGCCGAAACCATGGCAGATTAGGTACATGACATACAGGCTAATGTAAAGACAAAACTAGAAGCAAAAAATGAGAAGTACAAAATTAGGGGTTGTTTACTAAACGCTTACCTGATAAGTACTTACTGACAATTTTCCTTACTGGATGAACATAGCAAGGGGCAATAATCTTACCCGGTAAGAGCGATGATAAGAATGGAGAGTCTTACCCGGTAAATGAGGGTGTCGACTCTTACCCRGGTAAGCGCTTACCAGGTAAATTGTTGCATAATATACGTTTTGATGTATTACAATCTTACCCGATAAAATAAATTATAGTGTTGACTCTTAACGGTAAACGCTTACCGAGTAAGCATTTAAGTAAACGGCCCCTTAATATTGATATCAAGCGATGCAAAAAGTTGTTTAAAGAAGAGATCAAGTTACGATTTTTCTCAAAAAGGAACGGCTTCCTACAGGGACATTGAAGTAATTGAATGCACACACATATAGTCTTTACAAAGTCTTGAAGAATATTAATGACAACATTTATGTGATTGATCTTCCAAAGGAAATGGTAATTTTGAAGATTTTTAATGTGGTAGATCTTTACGATTTTCATGATGACATTCCATTATACCTGGACTATAACTCGAGGTCGAGTTTTTCACTGGTGGGAAGGATTGACGTAGAACAAGCAACTTTGGAGTTTGAAGAAAGAATCGAGAGAACAATAAAATCGTGAACTCAAGCCGGAGTTTCATATTCTCAGTTAAATTAGTTTCCTTTATTTATTGAGTTTCATATAGATAAAACTATAATTTTCTCGCATCACCTTGGATGAGACAACCCCATTTCCTCGCAATACACTGGTGCGAGATCACATCTCATCGCATCACACTGGTGCAATAAACAAATATTGGCCGAGACAACCCCATTTTCTCGCAACATACTGGTGCGAGGACCCCATCTCATCGCATTATACTAGTACGATTAATCCAACTTGTCGCATCAATAGGATGCGACAAACATTTTTCTCACATCCTTGCAACTCATTGCACCAATATGATGTGATAACCCAAGTCATCGCATCACACAAATGCAATAACTCAAAGTTATTGCTCGCATCATAAGGATGCAAAAACATCTCTTCAACTTGATGAAAAACCCAATTTTTACATATACTTGATCATGTCACCCTTATTCCATAATACGTTTCCCCTGAATATGCCACTCTTATATCCAAAATACATCTCTCATGATTATGTCACTCATATATCCAAAATACATTTCTTCTGATTATGTCACCCTTATTTCAATTATATGATATTAACATATCAAAATACAAAATTATGCTAAATACAACATAACATCAGTTTCAAAGTTTCCCACGTAAAGAACCACATAGTTCTGTTTTTAACATAGTAAGATGAAAATTTATAAAATAAATTCATCTTATTACCACAAGAGATAAAGATGCAGACAACAACAACAGATATTTCAAAACAAAAAAATCACAGAATTTGACTTCTACTTCTTCCCATTCGATTCTGTTTTTGCTTCGGGTTAAAAAAAACCACAATAAGCTTCTTTTTGTTTACCCTTTAACTCCCTCACACTATCCCAATGAGATAACATAAATATCTCATATTAACATGCATTAGAATAAGGAGGCGGTGGGTGTTTAAAACATTTTAAGCACCTTAACACATAAAGCCCTTCAACTTTCTACCTTTATTCGAAAACAACCCCAAATATTATAATCGATAAACCGGTCATCACATTTTACAAAATTATCACTGGTTTGTTGGTTAATTCATTGATTTTCATATGTAAGGTTCTGGGTTCAAGTCTTCATTGTAATTTTTTTTTCTCGGAAACATAATAAATTCGAAATTAAAAGCTAAAAACTAAGAAAATGACATTAACATGATTTGAACGCGGGTCTGGATTGGAAAAAAAAGCCTTGCAAACCAACTTTACAAAGGGAAAACTCAAAACTGTGTTCTTGTTGTAGTTTCAAAATATAACAAATTGATACAATGATACTTTTCATAACACTATAATTTTTTTACATTATAACAAAAGAACAAAACGATAACTCATGCAACTGTATCCAATATATCCATCGCTAAAAGCAAATCCGTTTGACTTTTGAATAAATAGGTTTAGATGATTTAAACTAATTAAAAACCTATGCTCTCAAGATCTTTGACTTCTTATGAGAATTGCTTCGACCCACGCAAATTTATAATTTCGAAATATATTTATGTAGCCATCGATTGTGACATTCCTTTCCCCTTTACGCATCTTTTATACTTATAATTTACTCAACTTATTTATTTTAAAAAAACTTTAAATAAACCATAAATGTGGTATTTGATTGGTTTGAGCTTGACTCTAAAGGTTAAAAGTACCAGGAGGTCTTAGGTTCAAATCCAAGGAGAAATAAAATTCTCTTCGTGGCCACGGAGGTTCAAATACGGTGACTTCAGATTATCTACAAAACAGATGGTTATCCTAGGATTAGTCGGCTCATTTAGCAGGTTGAATATTCATGTTAATAAAAAAAATTAAATACCATAAACAAATAAATTTGCGTATGGTCCCAAAACCCAATGATATCAAGTACCCAAAATGCTCGTATAATAAGACAAAGTCAAGAAAATTATTAACCATAAGCAATCTCAAGATTATTGTTAATAGGTGAGGAGTGTGTATGAGTTTATTTGTTCTACCTGTTGTATTTAAATATTATATACTAGAAAATATAAATTAAAATATAAAAAAAAATAGTGAAGTTCAATTTGGTCCCCAATGTCTTTAAACTTTAAAAATTCTGATTTGGTTCTTCATGTTTGTCAATTCTCAACGATGTTGGTCATTTTGTCTAACGTACTTAACTTTATTCATTAAGAGGTTGTTTGTTTACCTCTTAATAGTTCCATTAAGAGACAACCTCTGAATTGTTAAAAGGTGAATCTTGTTTGACAAAAAAATTTTTTGCCTCTTAATAGTTCTAAAATCCTCTGAATGATTAATTTGAATCATATATCTCCCTTAACCATTAAGAGCACTAATTTCATTGTACACAATTACCAAACAATTATATTTCATTTTGCACTATATCATTAGAGTTTTTTAATCATTCTGACTATTTAATCTTTTACCAAACCATTCAGTAATTGTCAAACAATCACTAAGTTCAATTAAATGATAGTATTTTAGTAAATTTCACTATTTTCATTATATTAAAATAACAAAACATATTATATTTTTACTTTTAAATTGTAAAAAAAAACGGAAAGAGGTGGTTATCTATATTTTTTTCTCTTTACAGTTTAAAATCAACATATAATAAGTTTTCTAATTTTAATATATAATTTAAAAAATAAAATTGAAGATGACTAAAATGTCCCTCATTTAACTAAATTTAACGGAAACGACCATTAGATAAAGGGACAAAAAATCATTGGGAAAAAACAAATATGAGAAATCAAATCCGAGTTTTTAAAGTTTATGCACGATATTCATTGGAAATTGCAAATGTTAAGGACCAAAATTAAACGTTAATCTAAAAAAAACATATATCCAAGTTTTTTTAAGTATATAATATTTATATACGACAAATACAACATATAAATTCACAAACCCAACTAATCTTTGAAGAGGTTTGAACACTTAGGGGCCGTTTA